TGATTTGTTCATGAAAATCCGCCATTCCGAAATCGCAGGAGGGTCGGTGTAATGCACTACCAAAACGCCCGTAACTAAGAAACAAATGCTAATTCGATGATGCCGGCTGGCACACTGATTCACTATGAATGTAGGCCGCACCCTCTAGCGGCAGAAGCTCGTACTACATCCGGTTCGCCCTCTATTGACACCGTCTTGAAACTTTCCGATTGCACCTCGTATGTTCATTAAAAAGATAGTTCTAATACGAAGTCAGTGTTTCCAATTTTAAATATACAAATTTCATGTTCTCTTTATAGTAATCATATAAGTTTATTCCTTGATGCAACAAAGAATATGGCAACACCATATACGTATTTATTATCACAGTTGGAAACTTCGTGATTATTGCTGTATCTATGTGAACATTCAGTGTGCACATTCCAGGTTCAGTAATGGCAGCATACATCAATTTTGGAGTGGAACCAATGCATCTCCTGACAGCATCTATCATGTCTGCCCCAGCTGCTCTCTGTTTTTCAAAACTTTTCTATCCAGAAATCGAACAGAGTAAAACAGCAGTAGAACATATGGTTGCAGTGAAAGGGTAAGTCAGTATTCTGTCAATAAATCATAATTTGTACTCTTCCCCAAATATTCAAATATCAGGGTGATCAAATCAAAGAGATGGGAATAACATGTAGAATGCATGGGAGAAATGTAGACTGCATACAAAAATTTTTACTGAAAAGCCTGAAGAGAAGAAACTGCTTGGCATATATAAGTATAAATGGATTCTAAAGAAATATGGATACTTGTTTGAACAGTGAAAGGAGCATACTAGGTTGGTGCATGCACATGTGACATCCAAATCAAAATGGTAGCAAGAGTGGAGATTTGGACAAGTATACAGGTGAGAAGTTTGATACGTTTTCTGCATGCAAAGGGCAACAAACCAAAGCCAATTCATCAGGAATTTATGGGAAATGCGTTATGAGCAAGAAACAAGTTTCTGTATGGTGCACAGCATTCCAATTCAGACCTAGAAATGGTTCCATCAGTACAGGCTGTAGGTGCTGCAGCTTTGTATACATAGTCCTGACTTGGTACCCTCAGACTTTTACATCTTTGGGTCCCTGAAACAAAATTTATCAGGGCAGTGGTTTGTGAATGATGATGATATTGCAGCAGTGATCGTGAAGACCTTCAACCTTGTGGGGATAAAGAAGAGACATAATAGCTAAAACAGTTAAAAAGTTGACTAATGACTGGGGTGCCAGTTTCTGGAAGGGTATTGAGTTTTGTTTTTGTTTTTATTGATACACATTGCATAGTTTTATTCAGAATTGTTAAAGCAGGAATAATTTGAGTCAAAAAAGGGAGCATATAAAAATCTGAATTTCTTCCAGACAGTATGCAGGTATGTTGCGCTGGAACATATTTTATGAAATACAGAATTAAAAAACAATTTCAAAATCTTGCAAAATTTGTCCAAAGGTAAACTAATTTGTATTACATTTATAACACTAATGATCCTGTTTGGCACACTCATTATGCATTCCATGTCATAGCGATGAAAACAGTGTTTTGGATGCTGCAACAAATGGGGCACTACTAGGGATACAGATGGTGCTTGGAATTGCTGCCAACCTTATTGCATTTGTGTCATTCATTGCATTTATTAATGGAGTGCTCTCTTGGCTTGGCATGCTTGTGGGTATTGAAGCTCTGACATTGGAGGTGAGTTATAAAACTGCTAGGAGTGAACTTAATCCTATTGTATTTATGAGGAAAAATTAATAAACCTCAAATAACTGTAAAGGAATACACTTTTATTGTAGTAAATATTGTAAGTGTACAATTATGTTGACTGGATATGTTATCATGGAAAGTACAATATGATAATCCACATTTATAGTGCTCTACAACCACATTAACTTTAAAACCCAACAATGAATTGTAACATGAAAATATGTTCAGGCTTCAAGCTGAGTAAGCATCCACCATTACTGATATGCAGTTAACACTTCATTGTCATGTCTCCATATTCTAGGGACTGGGGTTTCCCCACATTATGACTGTCTCAATAAATGTAATGAAATTTGGTACAGAACATTTTATTAAACATTGTCTGTATCAGCCATTGACAATTGGTAAGAATTTCACAGATATTTCAGTGGTTAGTTTTCTTAATTTTCTTTGTGCTGACATTGATAGCTTACTTTGTACTTTGTTCTACTTACTTCACAGCAAGAAATTTGTACAGTCTCAGTTCCACTAAATAATTAAAGATAGCTGCATGTTACATATCCTGAAGAAAACAAGTATAAGTTTATGTTCATCTGATTCCAAGAAGAGTTTGTAGAAATTACATGTGTTTAAACAGTCTGTTTAGTCCACTTTCATTTGTCTGTAAATGTTTTTATATTATATTTACTAACTAACTAGATGGCTTACTAAACCTGAAGGTTCATCACCAAATTAACCAAAACCCTCCACCAGACCCTGTCCTGGGCCAACAAATTCCAGTCTCTTTCAACTCATATCTCCCATAGATCCTGCCTGACATTATCCTCCCATCTACGTCCAGGTCTCCCCAGCGGTATCTTTCCCTCAGGCTTCCAAACCAATATTAATATGAAAAAGTGGAAACGTTATAATTAAAATATGATAAGTAGAAAAAACAAATCACTTTACAATATTCAGGCGACCAAGTCTTCTGAAACACTATGTGCTATGCCATTGTAAACATTGTATCACTTGTCCTAGTACAATGGGTGTATAAATCCCATTCTAGCCTGGCAGATCATTTCGGTAAAACATTTATTATAATTCTTTTATCAGTATGAATGAATTTCAATAAAAATTCAACTTCTATACAATAAATGTTCATCTTTTCATGTCCATGTCTTCATAGTTCAGATACTGTTCTTAATATGTCATTGTCAATCAGATTAAAACTCATTAGCCTTGACATGAAGTTGCATTTAGTCAACTTCTTGACTTCTGACCATCAGAAAAAAAAGGTCCTGTATGGCCATTGAAAAGCCTGATGATTATAATGTTGAGACAAAAGTAGATCACTTATTAGCCTAACTTTATGACCAGAATTTAAAGAAAAAGGCCAATAATTTTCATTATGAAGTGATTTTAATTGTATGTTATGATTGGCTTCAGTTTATCACCGGGAAAGTTTTCATCCCATTGGCATGGATAATGGGTGTTAAATGGGAGGAATGTGATGAGGTAGCCAGACTTGTTGGTATCAAGACAATAATAAATGAATTTGTCGCTTATCAGCAGATGGGTGAGAGTAAACGTGCTGGGTTGCTGTCAGTAAGTATTGTAATTTTTAAAATATTTAGGGAAAACAATGTAGGTAAAATCCTAAAGGTTTCATGCATAAGGCAAGCTTTACTAAGATAGACTGCCTTTCAATATCTTTTTGAACTAAGATTTCACATAACTATTGTGCAGTTTCTTTAGTGTCTTGAAGTATAATATTATGTCCATATCAGTGTAAAATAATGAAATCAGAGTTTAATATATATACCACAATTCCAAGTAAAATAAATCTTTCATGTGAGCA